TATCCCTGGGAGCAAAATCAACCCCAATCATGAACTCTTCTTAATTACACATAAAAATGGAAAACTTTTTGATATATAGTTTTAAGTAAAATATATTATTAAAATTAATTTTACCTGTTTCTTTTTATTTTCTAATGTAACTAAAAGAATGTTGTGGGTTTTGGTTTTTTTTTTTTTTTTTTTTGAGACAGAGGTTGCCCAGGATAGAGTGCCGTGGCGTCAACCTAGCTCACAGCAACCTCGAACTCCTGGGCTCAAGCAATCCTTCTGCCTCAGCTTCCAGAGTAGCTGGGACTACAGGCATGCGCCACCATGCCTGGCTAACTAAAATAAATTTTTAAATTATATATCTCACATTATGTATTTATTGGGCAGCACCTTTGAAATCATTATTCCACTCTAAGCTTCGTGTTCAGGACAGTGTTTCTCAAACTCTTAATGTGCATAAAACTTACCTCAAGATCTTATAACATTCAGATTATGATTCAGTACATTTGAGGTGAGGTGAGATTTTGTATTTCTAAACAAGATCTTAGCTGATACTGATGCTTCTAACCCATGGATCAAATGTTACACAGCATGATTCTTGAAAACTTCCCGTATGTGTGCAAAATAGGACAAAAAAATGTCAATGCAACACTGTATGTCATAAATAAAAACATATAAACACTTTTCAACCAAAAATGAATATATAAACATTAATAAATTCATACCACAGAATTCTATAATACATATGTATTCATGTATTTATATTTATACATATGATTAGTAAAAATGAAAATGACCCGTATCTTACAAGACTAAATCTCAAAAACTACTCCAGATTTAAAACCACACATTTCAAAATGTTTAATATATTGTGATAAAATATATGCAAAGTTTTAAAATATGCAAAACAATAAATTATTATGGATCTTTAAATATTTGCAAATTTCTTAGACAAATACGATGCATAGCAAATTCATAATAGTGGTTACTTCTAGGGAGTGAAAGATAGGATTGAGATCCTGGATGTTTATATACACTAGAGTTTGCACTTGTATTGGTAATGTTTTATTCCTTTAACACATGAAGTAAAGCTAGATAATGGTATAAATATATACTACATTGATGTATTGTCTATCTTTCTCTGTAAGTTTGAAATATTTCATAATTTAAAATAAATGAAACAAATACCCCAATAAATAAAAGAATGTTGTAAGAAGTCTAGTACTTAACATTAGTGTAGGAAATATAGAACTTTATAAATATTTTTTAAAGACTTTATAACAATGCAAATGCATTTCCTTTAAAAAAAAAGAATGTCATAAAATATGTATTCTCTGTGGACTTGTAAAGCCACAAATGATACCAATAAATGGAAAGGAATAGAACAGCAAAATTGTGTGCTGAATACTTCACCTAAAATAGAGGGGACAAAAGATTATTTTCATTTTTAAAACATTTATTTTAAATTGTTGATTATAAATGGAATTCATATTCATTGGAGATTTAGAAGATTTGGAAAAAGAAAAAAATTATCATACCCTAAATACCCCATTATAACTATTCCTCAGCAATAACCATTTTTATTCAACATTTTGGCATATACTCCCAGTCATTTAATTTTTCTCATATATATAAAACATATTTTACACAAATATGCACACATACATAATCTTAATGTTTTACAAGGAAGAATCATATATAAATTGCGCATGTTCTCTACATGATTACCTAAACAAATCATAAATGATACATCCTTCTCCTTTACTCTGCTATCTCTTATCTAAAAGTTTCTCTCTGAAACATAGATACAGTAGTTTAGCTTTCTCTTATTTGTTTTGCTTTCTTCTTCCAACACATATTCAAAGTAGCTATCCATGCCCAAGCATTCTCACTAGATTTTGTCCTAAAGTAGGCAATTTTATTCCTCAAATATTTTCACTGGGAAAACATATGCATGGATTATAGCATTAAAAAACTTTTCTATAAATGACATCTATATTATTTACCAATTTCTTACTATTATAAGCAAATAACAACAATCACTTATTTACATAACTCTACTTATCCGTGATAATTTCTTTAAACTAAATTCCAAGGAGGCGGGCCATAGGGAAAATGGTTATGTGTATTATTAAGTTCTTAATATTACTGTGAAATTATCATTAACATGTCATAACACTTTACTGGTCAACTGGTATGATCAAATGTGACGACTCATAGGATCTACTTTTGCCACCCCAACTATTATAAACTCTGTTCTTATGACCAGCTCTTTCTATTTAAGGCATAAAAGCATTAATGAAATGCTATTAATCTTTGTCTATTACATTTCAGATAATCTTTCTTCAAATGTAGTGAATTGTGAGTCCTTCTACCCTTAAATATTGTCTCATCTGTAAAAGTTCTGGCCTAAATCTCTTGACCTTTCTGGCACTGAAACATGTTTTTCCCCATCTTGGGATTCTACAGGTACTTTGATAGAAGCTGGGAGAGAGAGAGTTGAACACATGTTGCTTATGTAGACATTTTTCCCTATAATTTCATCCAGTTTTATTTACAAATTAAAACATTAGAAAAATATAGGTTAAAGAATTCTTTTGGAAAAAATCTTGAAAGTAGACAGTGTTAGAATTAAAAACAGGATAAATAACTTCCAATAGAATGGAAAAGTCAAAAGCAACCAAATAGTAATTTAAAAATAAAGAAGTGAAAAGACACGACAACAAAACATATAGTTTAGAAAACAAGCTAAAATGTGGAAAATTAAAAATGTAAGTTGCGTCAGTAAGTAAAAATTAGTAGAACTCCTGTTTAAATTATTTCAATAACTATTTATTTGGCATTCAGTATTTTGTAGGGACCACATGTTCCTGACGAGTTAACGGTGAACAAAATTGACACAGGATCTCTGTTCATGAAGTTTAACCTAGTAAAGAAGATGTTTAGCAAACTATTACAAAAGTGATGTCCTTCACCAAAAGAGTAGTTCAAGATAAAAACAGCATATGTCAAGGGTTTTCTAAAGAGGCTGCAGAAAGCCTTAAACCTCATCATCACATACATCAGTTCTTTTTCATCATCACTGATCTACTGTATGTCAGCCAACATTATATTTAATAGCGAAATACTAGAAACACTTTTAACATAAAAAAGACAAAATTGATTGTTGTCACCAGTAACTTTTTTATATAAATTTTCACCAAGACAAAAGGCACAAAGAAAAATTCAATATTACGCTTATGGGAAAGGTAAAGACCAATAAAACATTAGTTTAAAAAGATGAAGAGCTTCAATAACATTAACCCAATATCAACACATGTTTTGGGGCATTGAATCTATTTAGTCTATTCCAATGACTAGGTAAAAAAAATGCTGAACAAGGAGTTTTCAGTCTCATGAATGAAGACAAATAAGAAACAGTTGCAATATAATATGGTACAAAGAGGGAACACAGACTTTTATGATAATAGGAAGGTCAACTAACCCCTCTGTAAGTCAATCAGGAAAAGGCTTCCCAGAAGATATCAAGACAAATCAGTGTCCTACAGAATGAAAATGAATAGATAGAAAGATCTTTCTAGGCAGCAGAATTGTTGATTTAAAATACAGGATGTAAGAGAAGCCTGGGCATGTTCAATGTGTTATAAAGATATCAGTGTGACTGAAGCATCAGTAGGAGACTGGAGAAAAATAAAAAAATTAGTTTTGAGAGGTTGTCATAGTTCAATTATAAAAGAAATTTAGATTTTTCCAAGAAAATAATTGGCAATAGTTAACAGGTTATAAGTAGCACAGTGGCATTATCAAGTTTATGTCTCAGGAACATATTCAATAGTCAAAGTACATGTTTACAAGTTACTACCATAATCTAGATGACAAATGGCCGTAACCACAACTAGCAGAGTGGCAATGGGGATGGGGAAAAGGGTGAGTTCTAGGGATAATAAGGCCATAAAATTCATGGACTTGGAGAGGGGCAAGAAATGAGAAAAATAGTGGAGCAAAACACCATGGTGGATGGCGGTGCCTCCACTGAAAGATGGAACACAGAGGGCAAAGAACTGTAGATGTAAAGACATAAATTTTAAAGGTAAAGATGATGAATTCTGGTTTGAACATGTTCAGTTTGAGATGCCTATGCCATGTTCCAGTTGGAAATGTCCAGTATGCAGTTTGGTTACCAGAGAAGATGTGAAGTGAGGAAGCAAGATTGTTGAGTCATTAGTGTATGTAAGAGACACTAGTTCTAGCTCAGGGGGGTAGAGATGATCAATTAAGGTGAGTAGGCAAGTCAACTAACTCCCTTTTCTTCCCAGTGCCAGTATATCTGATGGAACAAAAACATTTTTAAAACATTTTATTAAACCATTTTGTTTGTATAGATAGAAATGATGGACAGGTGACTTTAGAAACCATAATTAAAATATTGGCACAGTCAGCATGACGTGGGATTATTTGTACCAGTTAGTTATTCTCTCAACAGATTTGTTAACTAAGGTTGAATAAATCATTGGATCTCAGAGTATGGGATTGAGAGAGAAGAATTTTCCCCAGGAATACATAACTAAAAGGATTCATCTCTATACATTTTCTTACCTATTGAACATGATCTTACTTTTATTTAGAGATAGGGAAACAAATTAACATAGACCAACTTAAAGATACTGTCATTACCATGTCTTATGAGGAAAGAATAACAATGAGCTAGATACTGTTTAGGGCAAGACAGATGAGGTATTTCTCACCTATGGCCTACCATAAAAAATTAATTCAACAATAATTATATAGTGGCTACTATAAGCCAGGCACTTGCTAAAAAAAAACAAACCTGGGTTTTCATTTTGGCTTCTAGAAGACTCCATTATTTAACTAGAAAACAGACTTCAGGATAATAGTTCCCTTTAAATAGATTTTTCATCAACTAAAATACAGAGTTGTACTTAGTTATTACTAAGAATATTAATGAGCATAATGGGAAATCAAATATAGACCTCAAAGAACTAAGAGGTGAATGCTTTCAAAGAGACAAAATGTTAATTTAATCAGTATTTCTCACTTTGAGACTTTGTCTGGAAAATTTGAATGGTATGTTTGGTCCCTTTGTCCCTCTTAGTGCTTTGCTACTCCTCACAGGCTTTGTTTGGAGAAGTGATGATCGACTTTGATATGGTTTTTCAGGAAGTGGCTGGTGATCTTTACTATATATAAACTCAAGCCAGGAAACCCCTGGAGGCAAGCGGTGGGAACTAAGTACCTTAGTGAGGATACAATCCGAACGGCTGGATGTGGTAGTATCTTCCAGAGGAGGTGGTGAGGAGGGTGAGGTGGAAGAGGAAGAAGAGGAAGATGAAGAGGAGGCAGAGCAGGCAGAGGCAGCAGAGGAGGAGGAGGAAGAAGAGGAGGAGGAGTAAGAGGAAGAGGATGGGAGCCGGGGTTGTGGCTGAGAATTACTACTTTTTTTAACATAAAGCAGCCAGTCAATAGCCTGGGGCTGTTGGCTTATAACTTTGTTCTCAGGGGCTTCTGTCAACAATTTTTTCTTCCTATCGAGCCCCTGGATGATATCAGATTCAGATGTGGGGAGAAGCTGTGATATCTTCTCCACTCCTTCAACGTTTTCTTCAGGGGCTCCATCAGTCTGATTTTCTTTCATAGGGAATGGGAGATAAGATGAGAAAGAAGTCTCTGGTAGAGAAAGAGTAAAATTTAATTTCACCTCTATTTTCCCCTCAGAATTGGCCTGAGGTGTTGGTATGACATACAATGTTGCACAACGAGGGTCTTTCTTTCCTGTAAGATGGCTACACTGAGATTTTATGCAGGAAGCACAAGCTAAGCAAACCATATAATTTGATGAAAGGCGTGGACCAGGATGAGGATTAGGCCTTCCCCTCATCCTTCGAAAGATAATCTGCCTACAGAGATCCCTCTGGATTTTGGTCTTGGAGATAGAATTGACAATTTTATTTACAACATCATCAGGGACAGTGCCACCTTTAACAATGTATGGCTGATTATAACCTAAAATCCATGGAACTTCTTTATTTGATTCTGTCTTTGCACAAAAAGTAAAGCTGGTTTTACTCTGGAGTCTGGACTTCAATGTTGAAGCAGTTGTGTTCCTGATGCAGTGTTTGGAGCTTGATAATGATTGGCCTGAGACACTTGGTTTGGGATAGGGTGATGGTAAATCTGTGGTTCTGTTTTTGTCATTTGGTAAAGCGGTATTCTGAAACTTGGAGTGGCATATTGGTGAGCTGGGGCTCTGGAAGTTATGATCAAGCTTAAGTACTGTCTGAGATTTGACCTGAAACAACGGTAAACTCTGAGATTGGCGGGCAGAATGTGGTAATGATGATTTCCTTGCTCTTGGGTAAGACAATGGCAAGCTTAGAACACTAGGTTTAGAGCTTAATATCGAAGACTTCTGAGGTCTGGAGTCAGGTAATGGTGAGATCAGAGCCTTTTGATTGGGCTCCAATGAAGGTGATGTCCGAAGGAAGTCATTTGATTGATGTTTGGTATCGAGCGATGGTGAGCTCAAAGACTTTTGATTGTGATCCAGTAATGTCCAAAGACCGTCCAAAGAAGATGTTTTCTGAGGTTTGGATTGAAGTAATGTTGAACTAAGGGCTCTTTGGTTAGTTCCCAAGGAAGCAGATGTCCAGATGGTGTTTAGGGAAGGTATGTCTTGATTTTGGAGGGAAGTTAATGATGAACTCGGGGTTCTTTGATTAGACTTCAATGAAGACGAAGTCCAGCAGAAGTCTAGGCTTGAAGACGTAGTCTGAGGTTTCGGGAAGGGTAATCGTGATCTTGAGGCTGTTTGATTTGGCTTCAGTGCTGATGATGTCTTGTTGAGGTGAGGCGAAGATGTTGTTTGAGCTTTCGGGTGAGACAAAGGTGAATTCACGGCTCTCTGACTGGGCAGCAATGAACTTCTGCAGTGGAGGTTTACTGAACGTGTAACCTGATGTGTGGAATGGGATAATGGTGATTTCAGAGCCCTGTTATACAATTTCTGTGAAAGTTTATGCTGAGACTTGGGAGAAGGCAATATTGAGCAGCTCTGGACCTTTTTGTTAGAGCTTAATGGAGATCCTGCAAGATGATGGCTACAGGATTGCACTTTGGCTGCAGGTCGGTTATCGAGTTGATTTAATTTTTCACTGGTGTATTTATGTGTTAATGAATTGGTTGTGGCCAGTTGGTAAGAGTGGTCTAGCGGCACGAAGTGTTGACCATAATATGCTAATGGCACCATCTTCTGTTGGGGTAGAAGTCTTTTTAAAAGCAGTTGAACTTGTGGTGATGTTTTAGTAACTGTTAAAGTCCTTTAGCTGCAGTCCAGGGACAATGGATACTTTAAAATAAATACTCTGGTAGTTTCTAACTTCTATCTTGTAACCTTTCTGTTGACATCAAGATATTATAGACTGTCTCACAATTGAGGTGTAGATGATATTGAAAAAAGAAAAAACTTGTCACCATTTGAAATTATCTTCTGCCTGTTCTTTAGTTTCCTAAAGATTTTTCTTCTGGAGGAAATAAAGCCTGTTAACAAAATAATAAAGAGAATTCAGAAGAGGTCCTGATGGAGTAGAAAGTTTCATAAATAATTTGTTGTGACTAGAGCACAGGCTTTATGTCAAATCCCAGCCATCTATGTATGCCCAGCCATTTAGCATATCCTATATATTTCTTTGAATTAAGCTTTCTAAACCCAGGTTCACCATCTGTAAAATAGACAAACATAATATTTAATTTATTGGGCTAAAATGTAAAAAAGATAATATATATAAGGTATCTAACAGCATGCAGGATATCATAGGTGCTCAATAAAAAGTAGTAGCTACCATTGGTACTCTTTTAATTATTGCATTTTTTTTAAAGTCTGTGATAAGTTTGTTGCATAAAATAAAAATCTTACAGAAAGGTGAAATGGACATTCAAAAATGTTGATTTTCAATTTATATTCAGTTACCTATCATTATCACCTTTTAACTTACTTCCAAAAGTCTATAATTCTACTTGAAAGTCTGTTCTTGTCGCCACTACATTTTGAAACCATAGACTACACCCTTTAAAACTACTGTTTTATTCATGTTTATTATTTCTGTCTACTCTGATCCTCTATACTCATTCTCTTATTTCTTTCCAGGCCTTCAATGAATTCTTTTCTTCTACTCTCACTCCAATATAGTTATCAGTGTTATGGTACTAGATCTCTTTTCATTTTATTCCTAAGTAATCACATCAGTTATACTTAGTATTTTAAAATAAACTATAGAATCTTCATAAAAAGACACAACTTTGTAGCTGGCCAAAAATGATTCCAGCATCTACCACTGCTTCTTAAAGGCAATACATAGTGTGACATGACATGTTATTTTCTTTTTCCTGGTCAAGGGTCCATTCTTCAGACTTTAGAACTAAAACACATGATACAATAAAAAACCTGGTAATGATTACAACAAATTCTTGGATGCGAATTGTGAGAAATTGAATTAATAATTCTTTCTATACTTCCATAACTTATCAATGCAATTTCTGATGGACAAATTTATTCTTCCTATATGCTAGCTTGTCCAATTAATTTAGTATCAATTCTACTATTGGTGGAAGCTTTCTCTTTATGTCAAAGTGGCTTTTCATCTATTTACTCTTGCTTTATTTGCATGTATTTAAAATATATATTATTGGTATCTTAATTCATTTGTTTTCAAGTCTTGAGTCATTCCTTGTGGAATTCTATAAATATCAACTATATTATTACACACCAGTAACTTCCTAAACTTTTGTCTCTAGTCTTACTTTTCTCTTGAGCTTTACAATTGTATTTCCAGTTACTTATCCGACTTCCCATCCAAAAGTCTCAAAGACAATTCAAACACAAAACAATCAAAACTCAATAAAGTTACTTCTTTCTGGAGAAATATTCTTTTTCTATGTCTTCTATCTCAGTTCCTAACACTTAGTCATCTAATTCAAAATCTTGGATATCATCCTGGGAAGGGTCACCCTTCAAAATCATTTAGACATAAAGATCTATTAATATTTTAGCTCTTACATATTTTAATTTACCATTCTCTACCCAATCCCACTATTATAGGCACAACTAATAAAGACTAATGTATTATTACAGTAGCTTTATATATCCTTCCCCTATGACCTCACTTGCTCTCCATTCTCCCCTATCAGACTTCCAAGAGCGAACTCTTCCTGGTGAAATACCACTGCTGCTTACTTAGGGATTTCCCTTGTTTTGCGTGTGCCTGAATGAGTAATAAACACTAAGTTTTCTTGTAATTGCTGAATTTGGTGTGGTGTGATTTCGATACCTTAAAGAGAGGAGAGCATGTACCCCTAAAATATACTACATGGCATCCTAACAAGCTTCTAAATGGCAATATAGAATAATTTCATGACTTCAAAGCATGCAAAGTTTTCTTAAACAGAGCATAGAAAGCAGTAACCATTAAAAATTCATAAATTAAAATTAAGAACTTGAAATCATCAAAAGATACAATGTTTAGAAATAGCTGAGGCAAATCACAAAATGCAAATAACATTTACACTATATATATATATATATTTGACAAAAGACTCATATCTATAATAATGTCTGCATATTATTAAGACAAAAGACAATGCAATTAGAAAGATGGGCAAAACATGTGAACAATTGCTTCACAAAAGATGAGATCCAACTGGCTAAGACATATGTGAAAAAAAGCTCAGCCTGACTAAAATTCAGTGATGTGCATATTTAAACAGAAAGATACTACTATATATTAACAGAGTGTAACTAACATAAAGTGAAAACTGAAAAAGTCAAGAATTGGTGAGTATTTAAATTAGATAAAACTCTCATACACTGTTGGTGAACATGTAAATTGGTAAACCCCTTTGAAAAAGTTCTTATCTTTACTATTAAATTATTATTTTATATACATATGCACATACATATGTATATAAATATGTATATATGGGCTCTTCAAAAGGTTTACATAAAATGTATATTATGAAAAAACTATGCATGGATTTCAACTTTTTGTAGCAAAATAAACTCACACTAACTTGTTCTAACATTTCTGAAAAGAATCTAATTTTAGGAACTAAGAAGAATAAGACATCAGTTTGAAAAGAACCCCTATAAGAGCAACATAAGTTCTGCTAAAATTGAAGTGATAAAAACATCAAATTTATGGTGACATTTCAGTGAAACAATGATAAAAATCACTGATACTTTACAAAAACTTTATTGGATCAATGCTTGAAAGAAATGAGCAATTTATAAATGGATAACTCATTTTAATAAGGGACAAGATGATGTTGAAGATGAAGCCTTCACTGGCAGACCATACATATCAATTTACAAGGAAAAAATTAATCTTATTTATGCCCCAATTGAAGAAGACCAATGATTAATAGCAGAAACAATAACCAGCATTATAGACATGTCAACTGGTTCAGCTTACATAATTCTGACTGAAAAATTAAAGTTGAGCAAACTTTCCACTTAATAAATACCAAAACCATTGTGCTCAGACCAGCTACAGACAAGAGCAGAGCTTTCAAAGAAAATTTTAGACAAGTAGGATCAAGATTCTGAAGTTTTATTTTGTTTTTTAAAATTGTAACAGGAGATGAAACATGGGTTTACCAGAACAATCCTGAAAACAAAGCACAGTCAAAGCAATGGATACCAAGAGATAGAAGGGTTTTTCAGGATGCTCAGGCCTTTTGATTTTTGAATTTAACATCTGTTTATTATGATATTGTTTTGAGAACATTAGCCAAAGCTTTGGCAGAAAAATGCCCAAGAAGGCTTTACCAGGGAGTCCTTCTGCCCTGTTCATTCCTTTCTTCAAAGGGGATTTTGCATGAGTTTTGATGGGAAATCATTAGGCCTCCACCTTAAAATCCTGATTTGGCTCCTTCTGACTTGTTTTTGGTTCCTAACCTTAAAACATATTTAAAAGGCACTCATTTCTCTTCAATTAGTAATGTAAAAAGACTGAATTTACATGGTTAAATTCACAGGATCCTCAGTTCTTTCAAGATGGACTAACTGGCAGGTATAATTGCTTACAAAAGTTTCTTGAAATTGATAGAGCTTATGTTAATAAATTAAGTTTATATTTTTATTTTTATCTTTTAATTCCATTTTTCCACAGTTTAAAGTCCCGTCTTGTATGTGTGTGTATGTATGTATGTGTATGTTCATGTGTGTGTGTGTGTGTAATTCCATTCCTCAGTACTAATAGACATGCAATGCATGAATATTTGCACCAAAATAGATGTAATAGGATGTTTATTAGAGCATTATTCATAATGGCTCCAAACTTGAATCAACTGTCAACGAATAGTGTAATATATAAATAAATTATAATGTGTTCATCTAATGAGGTACCAAACAACAATGAAAATTAACAGAAAATGTAACATCATACAACTACCTGAATGAATCTAACATACAAAATATTGAGTGAAGGTTAGAAAAAATGACAGACTAAAAGCAACCTGCACACTGTTCTCAAGGAAAGAAGTGAAAATTGCAGGCAGCTACCTATGTATGGATTGATCTTCTCTGAGGGAACACTGATAAATCAGAGAGAAGCAATATGGGACATTCAACGTGGGGAAGAAAAAGGTGACAGGGTCATATATTTAACAAGATCAAAGTTTCTGCAGGGAGGAATAGGAATATACAGCACTGGGACACCATGCACATCCCGATGGCACTGTATGAATTGTTATATGGCTTCCTCCAAGGCCACAGACCTCTACCTAGTCAAATGGGTAACCTGCCTGGAGTCTATGCAGAGTCACTGAACTAGGTGCAGTGAGGATAGAGCAGCAGTGAAAGCACCTGAGCTCTCGGGTGCATGGCGCCAGGTCGGCACCAGACTCAGGGAGGGAGTAGACTAAATAGAAGCTTCCCTGAGCCATACTCTGTGACCGAAAGCCAAACACCCCTCCCCTACAGCACAATGGTCACCACTGCCAAAAGGCTAAAGAAGTGCTCCAAAATCCAATGCCATGTCAGGGACCCCTTTACCTTGAGCCACCAGTACACCATGACCTGGTTTGAGAAAACACTCATAGTCTGGGAACCCGTGACCACTGCTTAGATAGCCTCATTCAGTTGCTACTGCCACCTCTGCAGGGAAACTCTAGGTAGAGCAATCCTCACAACACCAGCTTCAGTGAAGAGAGTCTTGTCCAGCTCCCAATTCAACAATCTACAACTACGTGGTGAACTACCCAACACCGACCACAAACAGCATCCAGCACAGGCTAGAACAAAGGCAATCACAAGTGAACAGAAGGAATGAGAACAGCTGTATTACAGGCTTCTAGTGTACACTCCCCTCCTCTGCTGCATAAATATTCCAGAATGTGGGGTGTGGGGAAGAACCACCTAGGGAACTCCTTTCTTCTAATTAAGCAGGAGAGTGCCCAGCAAAGAATAGGTGCCCTGAAAACTTGTTATCCCTGAGTTGAGGAAAGAGATTTCAGATGAGAAGGGACCAGCAAAAGAACCCTGA